AACTAAACAAGAATGTTGAGTAAAAATGTTTCTTGGATATTATTTATTTTTGTAAAAATTCAGCCACCTTGAAAATGACTCATTGTAACAACTGAAACAACATTCATGATTTTAAAACACATCTTTTCAGATATTTCTGGAACAGATAGCTCGATTTGAATAAAATTGGAGCATATGTTTTGCTATACGACCTTTTATTTGACTCGCATAAAGCCCGAAAGGGTTCGAGAAGGGTGAAAACTACACCCACCTCTACATAAATTATAGCAGTATTTTTTCGCAATTCTCTCAACGACTTTTTATTGAAAATATTTACGTATTTTTTGCTAGTTATAAAAACAGGCCATCTCTCATAGTTTTCGAAAAAAAAAACATTCTTTGGAGCTTGTTTCTAGAGAAAGTTCTTATTACATTGTATTACATTAAAATCTAGTAGGCATCTACTTAGCGGAAATTTGGGGAAATTAATTAACGTTTGGGATTATTTTGGGTTAAGTTCATCCTGTTTTAGGAAGATACACCTTAGGTTACCTCACCATATGAGAAAGCTAAGCATAGCATAAGTTGCAGTATGCAGACTGCGCTTGATGGAGACAGACGAAATACTGGTAAACAATGGACTTCAACGGGCTTGTGAATATAACTAATTGAGTACACATGTAACGCCACTGTATCTAGAAGACGGTGAAAGGCCAATCACGAGACCGATGGACATCAACATCTCTTAATGACAGACAATGAGTTTTGGTATTAGGTTTGGCGAGGCACCGTTATTTTGAATTAGCGTGTAATAATACAAAACGAATTGGACATGCATTAGGTCTTAAATATATTCTCGTAATGAGTTCAGGATACGCTGTCGTAGCAAAGAAGCTGAGGTACAACCGACACGAGTTGCTATATTCGGCCTTATTGATCTTTACCATTTTTGTGTTCCAGATAGTGCATACCTGGTGTGTGGGTAGCTTTAGATCCTGATTTAATACGGGTGAGACATTGACGCGTTGGCGTTTCAGTTCCCATCCAAATTTTCAACATAATTAATACATTTTAAAGCTGCCGAGTATATTTTTATACGAAGATATCCAGTTTATGACCCCACAAAATCCACCCGCTGGATTTTTATGTTGACATCTCGAGATCGTTAATGCTGGTCGTTCGTTTCTGGACGCCATTTTATAGTGTCGTAAAAGATTTTTTACTGGGGGTTAAATAGGTGCATCTCTTCAAATATTGGCTGCTGATATTCACTGGCTCGTACGTGATGACAGTCGTTGACTGAAGCACGGAAAGGAATCATGAAAACTGTCCACACTGTAAGTGTACAGTTTACACCTACACGCCCTTTCGTTTTTTCTAGGTTTCTTTAAAATTGAGACTGCAATTAAATCTCTCGGTTTCCATATAAAACAAAAATATAGTTGCACAAGATTCTTTAAAAAACACAAGATGACAATACTGCACGAAAAAAAGTTTTAAAGATAAATAAGGTAGAGTTGTGCAAAACATAAATCGTCTTTCACTTTGACAGATTTGTGCTATGAAAACTTCGGCCTGATCTCCGACTAGAGACCTTCCGCCAAATCTCCAAAATATTATAAATCAGTGGTTAGGATGACTTTTTAAATGCCCAAAGAACAAAATACGATTCTCAATGTCTGCTTATTATTCATAATTAAGAAAGCATACTGTTTCAATGTAAATCTTACAATTCGCATTACATATGGAAACATAACATGAATATTAGGTCTTTGTTTTCAATAAATTATTTATGTAAAGTGGAGATTGTTGTAATTTTCTAGGGTACAGAGAAAAATCGATCATGAAAAGTGAAAACAATCTTCAGATATTGTAACAAAACCATAATTTACATGCTTTCACTGCTATTGTTGTATTTACAATAAAATTATTCTATAATCACCTGTAAAAAAATCAGAATTTCACACCTTTCATATGATCACAATCGTTAGAACTAATATAAGACAAACGAATTCAAGTAGAAGGCGTCAGCCAAGGATTTGCTTGTCTTCTAATTTTCATAGTCTGTAGTGAGGGTCAAAGTGCACTTGACATAGGTCAATTTTTGACAGTTCTGTCACTAAATTCGTATATTTAGTGTTATATTTTAAGTCCAAGTGTTTGCAGATAATGATGATTTAAAGCCATGGTACTCCTTACATAATTAGTAAAGAGTGGCACAAGCCTAAGGATCGTGGACTTTCCACCGGTCAGTATTATTATTATATTGGTTATCTTGGTAGGCATTGGTAGAAAATAATATTAAAACAATATGCACGAAAACTACGCAATTTTGGCGACAAACAGTGCAATGTAAACATATATGCTTGGCTCCTTTTAACCCATTGGAATTAGTTGAGATGAGCAGTGTTGAAAATCAGTCAGAAAGCGAAATATAGGTTTTGTAGGTAAAGTTTCAGACTTTGGCAGTCTATTAATTTGGCACAAAATAGTAAACAATTGGTTAACCTACAACTTACTGGCAAGCAGCTTGATAGTTATTCTACCAAGTTGTATGAGTGCTTCTGAACCAGTACATCGCTTTTTGTTCTTAGAACAATCTTGATCCAAAAATCATCTGGTGGCGAGTTCAGATTACAAATATATCACCGACAATAACATTTTTTGCGTATCCATAAAGGGAAATATTGAACACGCTGAAATTAAATGCTGCGTTATTCATAAGATGAACTGTAATTTCTGAAATTGATTCGATTTGGTCAGTCATTCTGACGGCGAAACGACTCGAAGGATTCAGTGTATTTGAATAATTAATCCATTTATCTTGGAACTGATTCCATGCATCTTTTGCCCTGGTCTTTATATACAGGGTGTCCGCAAAGTCAGGGTTTTCCTTTTCAGAAACAACTACCCTTGAAATAACAAAGGTAATGTGTAGTGAAACGAGAGCGACCAAGTAAAAAAAAATAAAGGAAAAAGTACTCACTCTCCAGTTGACGAGAAGGGCTAAGTACGTCTCTGCCTGAAATCGAAAATTATTCACCCCATTACGCGTGAACGTAGATTCGTCTGTCACCAATATGCACTTCAAAAAGTCCGGATTATTGTCATGTTGATGCAACAACCACTCACAAAACCGCACTCTTGCTGGAAAATCGTCAGGTTGAAGGGCTTGTACACGTTGGACGTTTGCCACACTTTAGTTTTTGATACTTGCACTTCTCTAGCTACGTCTCTAGTGCTTGTTGAGGGATTCTCGTCTACGCGATTCAGTAGTTCTTCCTCAACTTGCACCATTCGTGGTTGTCTATTCCTCCCACTGTGCCCACCTCGAAATTCCTCCAAATGGCCCGTATCCCTGACTCTCTGGACCAGGTACACAAATCTGCGGGGCCTTGGATGATGTCGTCTAGGGAAACGATCTGCATACACTCGCGACGATTCTGTAGCATTTTGAAGACATTCGCCATAAATTAACTACATATCAACGAGTTCATTACTGGTGTATGAGTGTGCCATTATTTTTTTTTTTTTGAAACGCAATCGATTATACGGGTTCGTTACCTCTATACGCGTGACCCTTTACCGTCGGTTGAAGTTTGCATACTGACCTGACACACTGACCCCGACCCTCGACCCAGTTCTGTCGTCGGGTTCAGCTAGTAGCCGGTACCAGTCTGAGATATCGCGGCGGGTCGCGGCTACAGGACGGTATTCAGATATTTTTGATGTTGCAGAGCCCTTTATCTCGGTTCCCTTAAGACATTGGTGTATATGGTACTAAGAAAAATTGCTTATGTTTTCAAGATCTACACGTCGTGTAATGGAAAACCCCAACTTTGCGGACACCCTGTATACAGAGCTTTTTACATTCAAGTTACACAAAACACAAAGGCCATATTTAGAAGGAAGTGGCCAAAGTCAGATACGTCCACTTACAATGGATCACTGGCTTCAGTGGCTTTGTATTTTATGAAAATCTGTTATTACCAAGTGTAAATAGTAGCTCAGGTTGCCTTAGAGCCGGACACGCGCAGCTAGCGTCACATGTTACTTGTTTGTTCTCGGTTATGGAGTTTTGATACTAGAAAAGTTTTCAGCCACTGCTGCAATGTTCATAATAATAATAATAATAATAATAATAATAATAATAATAATAATAATAATAATAATAATAATAATAGTAATCCGGCTTTATTTATACAAAGTATAAAAAGGCGAAGTGTCGCTAAAAAGCGTTTTTCAACTTAACCCAACAAATATTTATGTAAATTTTCTAATCCCAATGAAAACAAAAAAGTAAAAAAAAAATCTGTAACGAGTCAATATTCATGGCCATGTTCTACTTACTGGGCAATGAAATCAGCGATAAAATTGCTTCAATCTTTTTTGAAATTCTTTATAGAGTAGTGAGTGAACTCGGTAGGCAACGCGTTGTATAACTTGATAGCAGTATATATGTACGACCTTTTAAATAGAGATGTTGAATGTCTCGGGATAACCAAGATAAGCTTATTCTTTGTGTTCAGTTGATTAACATCTGAGTATCTGATAAATTTCGTTGATAGATATGGAGGGGCTTGGATATTTGTAAGTAGGCCCTTATAACAAGCGAGTTTTTTATATTGATTATGCAAACAGTACTACTTTCAGATGCCTGAGTCTACTGTCGACTATCCTTTTGAAAGAATAATGGGAAGAACTAATATAAGGAAATGCGGCTCTTCTAGAATGGCTAACTAAGGCCATTGATGTCTTTCTGAATAAGAAGCTAGATAGACTCAAGGAGACAGAAAATAAAGAAAGAGGTGTAAATCTGCGTTATTTGTCGCTACTTAAAGGTTTTTGAAAATGACTTTTCTTATAATAATCTTCGAATGCAATTATGAGCGTTTATGTTTAAAGCTTAACATTACAAAGTAAACGTTGCTGGCTTTTAATAGATACTGTAACATCCTGCATAGACGGTAGGTCAGACAATTAGCGTGTTAGTTTTGTTATTTTTGACTTCTGTGCCAAATTGTAGATGAGGTATGTTGTCACTTAGTTGTCAAGTAGTAGGTTGGGTGCTTTGTCAGTTTTGTCTAAGTCCAAATTATCCCAGATATTTCGCGAAGTTTCTAAAGCTCGTGAGTTTTCAAAAAAGTGATCTTCACATGTTAATAGGCTACATAAAGGAGTTTGAAGTTGTGTGTTGAAGTTAGGTAAGTTTTGTGAGTTTTTTCATGTCGACTTTGACAAATAGAGGCACTATTACTTCTAATAGAAAGTTATCATCGTATGCAATGTAGGCATGTCCAGTTGACCCTCGATGGGTGTCCACGTCTGTTGCATGAATAACATTGACGAACTGCCGATTCTACACAGGCATCTTGTTCTCATGCTTGGTACCCGAACACAGGGTGATAAACTGCCCTGGAGTATATGAGCTGTGATTAATCTCTTTGAAACGTGCACTGAAAATGGAAAACGTCAGAGCCGTAATTAGTTACGCACCTTACTGCTGATGCAGCGGGGAATTTATACATTCGGAACATGATGGAGATTTTAGATAAGTGAGATTTTACACGGGTGATTTTAACGTGTCGTAGTGTGGTCATTACCGTACCATTCTGAAGGGAAACGGGTATTGTGAAGAAAAACTTTACTGGGTTGATTTTGATTCTTTCCAAATGCAGGTCAAGATAAAGGTGACCCCATAAAATAAATTGATATTGAAGGTCAGTTAAATGAGAAGAAACTTGCTTATTTTATATAGCAGAGGACCGTTAGACGTTAAAACACTGGAACATCGGAGCCCATGTATACTGAATAGATTTTTGAGGATTAAAGTGGAATGCCTTTGCAATATTGTATATTAAAATTTACTTTTTGATTTTGAATTTTTCCTTTTTTTAAATATCAGTTTCTATGCGAATATCAGCTATTTGACTATAGTGGTTACATGTATCAATAGTGACGTCGTCTACAAAACTGTAGGCTCATTCTCGCGGGAAACAAGGAACAAGTAACAGCATGTTTGGGATAGAAAAATGCGATTTCAATACTCAATACAATTTGAAAAAAATCGTTAACTCGGCAATGACGTACTTCGTATACTCGTATTATAAAAGTTTAGCTTACATCCTTTTCATTTTGAAGGCATCTGTGTGATTCATATTTAAATGAAGAAGAAGAGCAATCATTGTAAAGTGAGAATTAATGAATTTTCACACTTTTACGTGAGAGATTGAGTGCCAATTTATAAATTTGCGGGATCAGAGAATCCGTATTTTGGACGTACGGGATCCCAAAGGCCAATAAATAGAGCGGGCTCTTACTAGAATGCGGGATTCCGTTTCGCGAGATTGTATTTTCACCATGTATCGCATGGAATCTCTAAAAATAAATCAAGAATATCGCACCTACCTTATACTGGAGAATTAGAAAAAAATCTAAATCCAAATCCAAAAACTTTTTGCAATTGTATTGAAATTGTCAATTCTCCCAGTCTATAAGTGATTTTAAATAACGATGTTGAAAAAATCGTAAACATGATAAAATCATTTGTGTATCAAAAATTGCTATAACTGGAACTTGAACTGGTTAATATTTTGAATTGACTTAATGTGGCTTGGAAAATTATTGACGAGAATAGGACCATCAATCTTATTAGGTTAGCGAAAGTTTACATATAAATTATCACTAGTTCTTGTTTCACAATTATGCATGCATGCACAGTTTAGTTTAAAATTATCATTATTTTTGAAAACATGTAAACACAATTCATATATATACAACGAAGATACAGCTAACATGTCAAAATTCAAATCATCATCAAATTTTCTGTTGATGATATTCCTGCCAGCGATCGGATGCATATTTTTGTGATACAAATACATCAGAGCGCTTTGACCAACATCAAAAATATTCCTCATACCTCAACCTCACATCCACATTGGCTTAAATAAGCTGGTATCAGTTGTTCAGTTGCTAAGATGGTTTTTAATTGTCTCAATGCATATGCGTTCCTTGTAAAACGACGTAAAGAAATCTTAACACTTCCACTCATCTTTCTGTATCCTTCAACTACACGCTACGCCCATACTAATGTTCTCTCATTTTGACAAATCTTCGACTCGACCTTCTCCAGCTTCGAAGACAAACGACCGGTGCTTACCGCGTATATTTCAACGCTAATCGCATCACTTATGTCATATTTTTCAATTAGACGCTAGATGGGGGACCCTCACGTACCACAGACGTGAACTCTCACTCTATGGAAATACATCGTGTTCCTCGGACCTTTCTAACATGTAGAACTAGCTGATTGATAATAAATATATTCAGGGATCTTAGAACAATGTAACATCTAAAAGTGTTGGATTATTTCTTCACAAAACAAACAACATGGTACCCTAACAATGCATTTGTAGTCGAATCTTGCATAACAATTAACCCTTGAGTGACTTTTGGCGTTCTTGGAACGATGGGCGAGGGTGACTTGACTGGTACACGGCAGAGATGACCTCATGCTCGCTTGTCGCTTTGGACATCCTTTTGGGCTTTGCTGGTCTTGCGTGGTGCCATCTTGAAATTAGATCGTCCAGACGATTGTAATAATACAGTGTATAGGAATGTGAAAAAGGAAAAAAAAGCCAGAAGTCGTAAGCTTTTTCTAACGCCTAAGGCCTAAATACTCTTGGGTACCGTGCGGCTATAGAGGGATGCAGGTCTTATGCACGCACCTAAAGAAAATCACAACATCCAAAGCCAATTTCTTTGGACGTGAAGTACACCCATAGCCTAACTATTACGCCACTGAGCTGCTCAATTACAGTAGAACAAGCAGAACCTGAAGGCTAAAGTGATCTATGTTGAGGACAGCACCTTTGTTCATTGGTACATTTTCGTGGATGTCAATCATAGCCTTTGTGAAAAGGATTAGGATGATGAGTTTCAATGCCCTCATTCATGGGTGTGCCCCAAGTTGCACATGGTTTGCTACAATGTTTACTATGATTATTTTTTTCACACTTTACCTAATTATCTCACTACTTTCAGAGATTACTGCATACGAGGACATCTCATAATCTGAAAGCAGCGCTATTTTAATTGTAAATAGTATCAAAATGAATCTAAAGGCACCGAGCATGTCAAAATCCATCAAGCCATTTAGGCTGTAGCCCATGAAATTTGAAATTTATATTTGAAATCTGCCATTGTGATTTCATAAAATTTTAATATCAGTCTCACTTGCACCGTTCAGACAAATCCGGAGACACCTCATATCAAAAACCAACAAGCTGTTTGGACTGTGTAGCTTGTGAAATAGAATTACATAGATATACGCCCGAAAAACATAACCCTCCTTTTGAAGGATTTGGGTAAAAACTGTATGGAAATAGACTTGTACCTTTAAATATTAAATGTTTTCATTTGGGGGCAAAATAAAGGAGGAATAACCACTTCCTGGAAGTTGTTTTAGCACATGCTCCAAAAATCCCCCACTTTATTCAAAAAACAATTGCCAGTGGCGAGATGAACTTACTCAACAATTTTTGATTCTTTCATTGGATTATCCGTTCAAAAAATTAGTGTCTTCTATCTTCGTCCATGACTCTGTATCCACGTCATACTATACTAAGTGACATATAAATCTGAACACCCGGTTTAAATGGTTTTATTTTAATAAAAGTTGGTGAATGTATTTATCTTACTGTAAATAACAAGTGAAAACATTTTCAGCCCTATCAGTTGGACATTCCGGTTTTTATACTGCTTTTTTTTAATTCACTAACGCTCTAAAAATGAATATTTCAGCCGCAGTAAAGAATCAACGTTGGCGGATTTTGGTTTTTGACATCCTTTACGATCGGTTACGATGCCTAGAGTACGGAGACCTGTACGATTTCGTCAACTTAGTGAGTTTGATAGGGGCCGTATAGTGGGACTTCGGGAAGCTGGACTTTCTTTTCGGGCAATTGCAGTTAGAGTGCAAAGAAGTGTAGACACTGTGATTAGGTGTTGTCAGGCATGGCTTCGAGAAGGCCGTACACAAAGAGCAAGGGGCACTGGACGCCGCCGTAGAACAACAGACCGTGAAGATCGCCGCCTAAGATTATTGGTCTTAAGGGACCGTTTTTCCACTACCAGGTCCATTGCAAATGAATGGTTTGCAGAACACGGAAGACCTATTGGCATGCGAAGTGTTTACCGACGAATGAGAAGTTTTGGCTTGTTTTCATACCGGCCACACTGGGTCCTCCCTTTAACTCGAGAACACCGACGTAATCGCCTTGAGTGGTGCAGACAACGGTCACTCTGGGATCAGGAATGGAACAGTATTGTCTGTAGTGACGAGTCTCGATTTTGTTTAGGCATGCACGATGGTCGTGCCAGGGTTAGAAGGCGACATGGTGAAAGGAGGAATCCACAGTTTTTTGTTGAAAGACATGTTCATCACACTGTTGGAGTTATGGTTTGGGGTGCTAGAGCTTATGGTTCCAGGTCACCTTTAATCTTCATCACAGGTAACATGAACGCGCAGCGTTATATCCACGAAGTTCTAGAACCCCATCTTTTACCCTATCTTGACACCCTGGCAGATCCAACTTTCCAACAAGATAATGCCCGACCACATGTTGCAAGAGTCACAATAGACTTCTTTCAACATAATGATGTCACATTGTGCAAAGCAGTGCAATCATTTTGAAATTTTTATCATTTACTTATTATGCTTCATTAAGTACTTATACAAAATTTTATTAAAATAAAACCATTTAAACTGGGTGTTCGGATTTATATGTCACTTAGTATATGTTCATGTATAACATTTACCTACCACAGATGTCATAAAAAACGAAGTTCTCCTATTTTTTATAATATTTAGGTTGATTTCAATGGTTTATGCAAATATGTATTAAAGTGTGTCCAAATGCTGTGTGAGATGCTTTTTATAATCCATGTATTTAGTTTTCGTAATCTTTAAGCTAGCTTTACTGTGCTATTTTGGGAAGTCGTGTTCGCGCCTTTCTAACTTGACCAGACGCTCGTGTCCGATTTTGAAAGGCGATTTTTCCTAACAAGAGTTCTAGTGTGCATGTGTGAATGAACTTATAGGTTACTAATTGTAACTGTAAAACACCAAGTTGGTTATTTATCAACTTATGCATGATGTTTACTATAATGTTAATGCTTGTTTGGATTGGATACTGGACATCTACAAATAACGTGGGTATTACCATAATGTCAAAGATTCCGGTATAAGGTAGATTTCTTCATTAGCACATTAGAATATAAACATTTAAAATGCTAGTTTTTTTTGGCAGTGATTCTCGTGAACATTTCTGCCTTAGGATCAAAGTGAATTTAAGTTGCACTGCGTGTCCCAAAATGAGCGAGGTCACACCAACATAAGTAGATCGTAGCAAGGAGGAAAAATACGTCTTGCACTCTTCTACTGCTATTGTCAACGCGCCTTGCTCCACTGAGCTCTCACCGAGCGATCTGTACATCCAGAACGGCTTAGTACGACCGCGCCTTTGTTCCTAGGTTGCCTAGATTCCGAAAAAATCTGCCTGAGGAGGCTTTACTTAGTTCTGTTAACCTGAAGTAGTTCAAAAGTCGGCTAAACAAGGCATCTTTAAGTAGTCGTAGTGGTCCAATATTTACACGGCTGCTTTAGTGGCATATCTGATAGAATACAGACACACCTAAAGGGTGAGCCATCCGTTGGCTTCCTTTAAATTGGTATTGAAACTACACTATTCAATAATATATAACACTCCATACTTTATTCAAAATAATTCCCCTTCCTATTATTTGTGAAAAAAAAAATTCAATTAAATGGCTGGGGCGGCTGGCCTGGCAGTAGTCCATCCTTTTAACCCAATATTGAAGCACATTTTTGATAGTTTGTAGGTCTCTTTCATCAATAGTTCGACGGATATTTTCCATAAGAACATCAATTGTTTGAGGATCGTTAGTGTACCAGCGGTCATTAATGGCGGCTGGCCTATGAACCTCTCCAAAACGGCTGATAACACGATGGCCGAACATAGTGTGTAAAGGATCAATTGCTTCATCTTGAAAAAAGTAAGGACCAATAATCTTACCACTTCAAAAGCCACACCAAATAGTTACTCTTTTTGGATGTATTGGTTTTTTTATGACATGCGGATTTTCAGAACCTCAAATCCTACAGTTCTGCTTGTTAACGTAACTTCCCAGATGGAATTGGCGACCAACTTTCACGTCCGTTTTCAATTGATTTAGAGCCCACACAGAGAAACGATATCGAAGCGGATGGACATTTTGTTTCAACTCTTGCACAAGTTGCACCTTGTAAGGAAATAATCCCAGGTCGTTATGCAATATTCTCCGCACAGAAGTGCGACTGATGCTCACTTGTCGTGCTCTGTGTCGAGTTGATATTCTTGTGTTTCCACGCACACTCTGGGCAACAGCAGCAATGTTTTCGGCTCACATGCTCATTCCTGTTGTTATCCACAAGCAGGCCAGTTTCACGAAAATTCTTCACGAATTTTCGTATACCAGTCGCGGACGGAGCTTCATTTCAACCAAAAATAGTCTTCTCAATTTTCGAAAAGTTTCTGCAACACAGCACTCACTTTGAAAATAGATTTTCAATATTTCTCACCTTTGTTCAAGATTAAAACGATCCATTGCTCATAGCGGAAGTTTGACACAATATATCTGTCAAGATGTTGAGCATGGAAGTGTTACTAACTATCAAAATAATACCAACTTAAGAAAAAGCAACTGATGGCTCATCCTTTACTACCTGGTGATGGAGTTAGATACATATAAAAATATACTAATATTTTGGAATTATGTTAATAACTATGTTTTTCTTTTTTTTAGGTAAGTTTTTTGATGAACAGACCTAACACCAATTTGGATGTAAGTAACTTATATTGAGCATCGTAATGCAACGGAAAAATATTTTTATAAAAAATCTAAAACTACTACGGTTATCCAAAATGTTGTTATTTTTCGCGCGCCACTGGCCCAGCTAAGAGATCTAGCTACATTTTAGTTAGCCATAGGCACTATTTATGAAAAGCATAGCCTCAAGAATCCCCCTGTATACGAAAAAGTAATAGAGACATTATGAACGAAGTCTTTTATCATTTCACTTTATTTATTGAATCAGGCACAATTGTCTAAGCTTTTTCGTCATTGTTACAATACGACAATAAAATAATGAAGGATGACACTCCTATCTTTTTCGAATGGGGTATTTTCAATAAAAACCCGCTTCAGCAATCACGAGTATATTAAGAATGCCATATAAATGACAATTTCCTAGACCCGCGCATCAAAGAAAAACCTTGGATGAGCGGTATATTATAGTGTACGCGTGCCACCACAGTGAATGCACGCTGTCCACGAACAATCGTGAACAATGATATTTCTTCCTATCTGTGATCTTTAGTGCAGGTAAACTAGACTCAGAAGATGATTAATAAGTATGTGCAACTATAACCCACATGACACAGGACTCTTGGATCAGCTTTGGAACATGAACTAGAAAACTGGTCCCAGACATCATGATGTTGATTGACAGATGAATAGTGGAGATAGCTATGGTAGCTGGGCAAGAGAGAATAAGCGAAATCAGTAGGTTGATTGACTTGAGAGACCACTGGAACAGACGCTCGGCGAGAGGCTCACTGCTGACATTTTTGCCAAGCTTTCAAGCGAGGGTAAATAAGTTGAAATTTAACCAATATTAAGGCAAGTGATGTTGATCACGGTATATGACGGTAAAAAGGAGCAGTGTATATGTATAAGGTAAAGGGAGACACAACCTTATTAACGAATTTTAGCGTGACAAAATGCTGTAATGCACATCCGTGGCGTGATTTACATGGCGAATGACTAAGGACTTTATAAGTATACCAAATTTTGGAGAATCTGATACTGCGGGTATGATATGAGGAATCTATGAACCTCCTCTACTCTCCAGTCTAAAAAAAAAAACAGTATGTGGGAATGCATCAAAAAAAGTGTATCAAAGTAGCCTCACTTACTGCAAACTCCAAGAGACATTCAGAGGAGAGGTTGGTTAAATTCTTAACTATCTACTGGAGATTCGACATACGCGTTATGGACAACGACGAGCAAAATATGTTATCTTCAACCCTTAAGTTGGGGTTGGTGTGAGAAATTTCGAACTTCTTTACCCTCCAGATTTAAATATTTGATTCTGGAGATCATTTACCCCAATAAATTCCATCCAACATTGGGTAGGTCCCAATCCCTCATCTCAGAGAAAAGAGTGTGTCGAACGTGAGAGAGCTGCATTAAATAATCGTTGACTATCGTGACCTATTTATCCTTCAAAGAATATGATTTTGCTCGAGCGATTTTAAACATTTGAGTATCTCAAAGGAAAGTGAGGGTCCATCTCAGCACAATGCAGCATCATGACTCAAAAGGCTTCTTTACTGGAGATACATTCAAAGTGTAGTTGACCTCGGACGCAAATGACCTTGACCCCAACTTGGAAGCCTTCCTTCAGAAGAAAAATGCAGGAAACTGTGACTGCGTCTTTTGACGAGTCAAAGCAACACCAAGACCCACCTTCAACTCAATTTTGGATATCACTATCTCTATTTAATTACTTTACGCACCAATTGGCTAGGAAGTATTGTATTTCAAAACTGAGATATTACGTCTTTTCGATGTTACATGACAGATGCATCACGAAAAACCATGACACTCGTTTCCCTTTGTATGTCCGTCTGCCTGTCGGTTTATCGGTCAGTACCGGTGGGATTTTGATAAAAGTTTGACTCAAAGTTACTGCTGTTCCAAGGATAGAAAGGCTCTGTCGTTCTTGATTATAGATTCAGTAACGGAAAACTGCCAAAAATGAAATAAACAAAAACCAATAAGATTTCGTTTTTTGAAATTTCAGTCTCCTGATCATTTTCAGAAAATATTTTGTAAGGATAAAAAAATGGGAAGTTGGGGATTGTAGGGGTTGGAGAGGGTATATCTCAATTTTTTTGGTCTGATCTGACAGGGATTTAGTAAGCGAATCAGAATTGTATACTAAATTATTCAACGGTGATTGTAGTTAATTGCGGTCTTGATCCCTTCTGGTTCTACGGCCCATCTTCATAGGTGTGGATGGGGTGGAGATCAGTTGTTGGCAATATGAGTCGGAGTTATATGACTGATGTGAATTCGATGTGACCTGTCTATGCAGTGCAGCATTTTCTGACTTTAGCTGTGAAATTTGGTACTCAAAGCCCTTGATCTTACACTAAACTAAATCCAAATTCAAGATGAGATGTAAATAATAATAGTTAGAGCGTGATCTCTCGGTAACATGTGGGGACAACGCCTGTTATTGGTCAATTCGCCATTAAATTTCAAGCGGTCGCCTGGCGGAATAATGCGCGGGGCAGGGGCAGGGCAGGCAGAGTTGCAATCAGGCCACCGTCCGTAGCGTGTATCACTGCGTGCTCATGTTTTCGTATTCACCTTGCTTGGTTGGTAGCCCTGAATGCGGCCCTGTGCGCCGTCCTTGCTTTTGGCAATCACGCATCCATTCTATCTTGAGTGTAAATACACTATAGTAGGATTCAATTTCATCGCTGTAGATTTTTTCGGTTTCTATAGCGTCGTTTTCAAAAGCATTTCCTGAGTGAGGCGATGTAGTTATTTTTTTACTTCAATTTCACGTTGCAAATCCCTATTTCATTTAAAAACTCAACCTTCTTGTCATCTTGCTCCTGCTTTTTCATGCAGGCATTGGAACAGAAAATGTGCTTATGCTTCTCAATGGTCACAAAATCATTTTTCCTATTGCAGCAGCTTTGGTGAAGAAATTCGGCATCTTGTCCAGTTGTAACATTGCCGATTTCGCCTATGTTCTTTATAGTTGAGATAGCGAAATATGGTATTTGTTTTTTTCGAGATAATTTTGTAAAAAATTGGTCCAACCAATGGTCCGAATTGACGTTTTCTACTATATGAACTACTTTCAAAGAATGATTTAATTATATACCACTGCAGTCCATGATGTTCACACCTCAAAACGATATGAAATTCAGTTGTTGTAAACGCGACAAACTTGTCAGTCTGCTAGTGTAATTGAGGTTTATTCTATTTTATGCACCTATTAGACAAATGTCTTACATCATAGATCATCCACATTTGCCCTTAAGATTTTGACAGAAATAATTTTAATATACGCGTTGCACGCAACAAAACGGACGTATACCTGTGCCAGATTTAGCAACGTTGCCAGACGGTCGGTACTGACGGTAGATCAGGAAGAGAAATTTTTATCTTTTTTACTGAAAGGAGATATGCAAGTGTACAATATCAAACTGTTCCTCCAAGTACTGGAGTTGAACTTTCCTGGATTATTTGTATGATCTCAGTTTGCTATTTACAAGGAGCGCTGTGGTGCAGAGAGAAGAGAGAGTTTTTGCTCCGTTTCGTTGATGAGCTATCACGAGCCGATGATGTATATGTTTTGCCGGTGCTCGAGTTCCTTCTCTGCCATCCACAACCACTAGACAAAGAAGCGACGTGATCCTCTCTTGTACCGTAATGCTGCTGCTGAGGCTGCTGTTACTTTTTCTTGCGGTATTCGTGGTGTATACAGCTTGTACTTTATGCATTTATGGGGAAACGGCTTTTTGGACGTTTTGGTCTTGTCGGTTGAATAACTGAGTCATCGCGATCCGTCAACGAAATCGCTTGTTGAACTCGGCTGCTTTTTGCATCAAAATGTAGCAACGAAATGCCGGTACAGTATCAAGATTAAGCTATCTGCACCGTGTCCTGTACACTATACAGTGTGTTTCTGAACTATGGGATCAAACTTGTAGGGGTTATTCAGTATAACAGTAGAAAACGTTGGAGTATAGGGACCCATATCTGGCGCTTGTGTGTAGTTATGTTTAAAAACGATAACAGAGGTTGTTTTTTGTAGCTGCATTACATATCGCCTTAGTCGTGCTATCGTATTTGTGAAGTTTGCAAGAATTTAACAAAAAATAATTGTTGTAAATGGAAAACTTTACCAATCAAGAATTGGCGGAGATGCATTTGGCATACGAAGCAAAAGTACAATGCACGAGCAGCAGCGCAGTTGTATCAACAACGTTATCCCAAACGACAGCATCCGGGATACAAAAAGTTTATTGCTATTCATCGGCGGCTCTCTGAGACAGGCATGTTGAAAACCAGCTTGCACGATACTAGTGTTGCTCGAACCGTAAGAACGGTCGAATTTGAAGAAGAGGTCCTTCAGCGAGTTGCCGACGAGTTCAATTTTGTCAATGGCTTCTTCATCAAATCGCTGCACAACCATATTTTTATGCTATGTTTTATGGACCGATGAAGCCTCTTTTACAAGAGGCGGTATTTTTAATAGTAGTAATAGCCACGTTTGGGACAAAGAAAATCCCCATGCATTTTTTCCTAGAAAACATCAGCAACGTTGGTCTACCAACGTATGGACAGGCATTGTTGATGATTATTTGATTGGGTCATACCTTCTACCGGAACGGTTAACCTATTTACCGGCGTTTCTTGGAGGAAGTTCTTCCAGAACTTCTTGAAAATGTTCCATTTATTGTTCTACAGCAAATGTGGTTTCAGCATGATGGAGTGCCGGCTCACCTTGTTGTACAAGTACGTGAGTATTTGGCTCCGCGGTTTGGGCACCGTTGGATTGCCAGAGGTGGAGCAGTTTCTTGGCCTCCTAGGTCACCCGATTTAACGTCGCTAGATTTTTTCCTGTGGGGACATGTAAAGTCCGCCGAAATGATGTGCGATGTTTAAATCTTTGTATTCAGGTTGGAGGAAGACATTTTGAACAATTGTTGTGATGATATCATGTACAAAAAATTAAATGCATTAAATCCTATTTAGGCGATTCATTGTCTTTCTAAATTTAAACGCGTCTTAGAGCTGTAGTGCCGTCGTGACACTTTTCCGGATATGACTCCCTATACTCAAATGTTTTCTAAAGTTACACTGAATAACCCCTAGAAGTTTGATCCCTTAGTTCTGAAACACCCTGTATAGTAACATTAATCTAGTAAAAAGGTCCACCCAAATTTGAGATGATGAAACTGAGACATAATTAGAAT